CAAATATGTTAAAAAAACAAACATTTTTTTATATAAAGTTGCACTGCAACTTTAAGAATCTCCTAAAATGTTAGGATTATTACTGAGACTAAAAGTTTCTTAAGAGGAAGAACTTCCAGAAAACTGCAAAACAGCTGAAACACCGAGTTGCTTTTGAAACATAATTAATGAAACAATCAAGCTTCTGCTGTGTGACGACAGTAAAAAGTCATGCTCAACTGCTGACTGTGTGTTTATATGACTTTCCATTTTTATCATATAAAGCCTTGATGCTGAAATGTGATATTCAAATCAAGTCTGATTTGATTCTCTGTAAAATGACCAGAGTATCTGTGCCAACGGCTGGCTCTGCTCCTCCGTCCTGTTTGGTTTTCGCGTCCTTTGCTTCCACCTTCTGCATTGGTTTTCTTGCCAGGTCAAACAAGTTTACACAAGCAGGGAATCACGGTGAATTGCTGACAGCCGAGTGTCGGCGTAAAAATGACATGTCTGACTCAATGACGATTTCGGGTCTGGATATTTCATTGTAATGCTGCAGTTAAAAACAGCAACCACCGTTCAGATGCATCAAGAAAATCAAGTTGAGATCATAAATCCACAGAGAAGAGGCGTTTTAAAATCCCAGCCTTACAAACTTCAGAGACTAATATGAGCAGACAAGGGATTCAGAATCTATTCTCCAAGGGTAAAGGATGTGAGTTTGTGATTTTTTAATGAAGCATGAGAAAGAGCAATGTTTCCATGTAATTTAAAATCCCTGTCTACTCACCCAGATGGGTCATGCTGTCAGACGCGGGTCAGACGGCCCGGGTCATCAAGTCAACAGCAATTATCCCAGACAACCCGCTCATCTTTCCCTCAGAGCTTCTCTATAAATCTGGGTTTTCAAATGATAAAACAGAAGAACAAATAATTTAATCTCCTTCTTAAGCTCGTCTTTCTTTGCCTTGATGGCTGCCATTCATCTAGTTTTCCTCAGACTTACTTTCACATTCCAGATTAACGGGAGACACTAAAAGACAATCCAATCAATCAAGTTAATAATGTATTACCCACATCAGGCAGATTATCATGAAAGTATCCCAAAGTAGTTACAGCTCCTTGACGTCCCGGGTATTTAATGACACGAGTGTCCGCCTGCAGAAAATTGTCTGCAAACTGTCTGATGTTTGTCTGACTGATGAGGAATTTTACGTTTGGTTGGCCACAGCTAATGAGAAACCTGAGTCGATGATAAAACCTGAAAATATTCAGAGAGACGGCTGAGGACGCGCTGCTGGTGGAAAGGTTCATGCGTCGCAATTATCGGTGCTGCTATTGTTACTTACCAGAAGACAAGCAGTGTGGGAGGTGTGAAGTACACAAGGCAATTATCGTTAATTGAGGCTGGGGAGCGCACCATTAAATGACTAATTTGTTGGGTTTTTTATCGTATGAAACGTACCGTTTAGTTTTTTTAAATAACTGGCTCAGGTTTTGAAAATTAAACGCCATTACGAAGCATCGCTCTGATATAATTGCATATAATCTCCTGACGAAAGAAACTAAAGTCTGAGTATTCAGCTTTGTTTCTGAACAATGAAATTTCAGCTGCATCTCCTTCAACTTGTTTTTTCTGCTGCTGCAGCCTTTCTGCTTCAAGGTTGAGCTGCTGTTGCCTGTCTGTCGTCTTGAACCTGTTTGCTTGTTGGACTCTGACGTCTTTCGTCCACAAGATTGTGTCAGAAGGTCAACTGTTTCTGAAATACTCAGGAACTGAGTATTCTGAATTTTGCAAGAAAAGATTGGCTCCGAGCAGAGACTAAGTGTGAGCGGGAGGAGAAGTTTTGAGAAGACAGAAGTAGAATCCTGCTTTCAGACTGAAAATGTTTGCTCTTCGGTTTCTTTTTGGGTCAAAATGGACCAACATTTGAGGAACTTGGTCACCCGAATCTATGCCACAAAAGGATTAAGGCATTCAGTTCAGAAGGCAAAGGAGGCCCAGGTCAGCGAAAGTGACGTGTACCGGATTCAATAACCGATTTTCAGACTCATCCTGTGTTTATGGAAGCCCTAATCAGGTAAATACAGCCCACATGCCTACTGGAATACTTTCTAAAAACAATACCGACAATCTGACGCCTAATCATAATTAATTATGATTTTTATTAACCATAAGACTCCATAAGGACTGACCCCGTTTCCCAGACAGAGAACCAAGAGAGTGTAAACTGAAAAGCCGTGAAGTCTATAAATACCTATGAACCCAAAATTAAGACAAAAATAACATCAGCTGATTCATCTTCTTTGCTGCTGTGATGTCATTTCTTGTACTTGTACATTTAGTGAGTGCTAACGACATTAACAGAAGTCCCTACAGGTTTCTCTACAGAGTGGAAAATGCTTCCTGAATTCAAACACAACAACCTCTGAGCCTTTACAGCCGAGTACTTTGATTCTCAATGATTCATAAGGACATGTATTTAGTCATAACTTCCTTTATTTAACCAGATATTCCAGTTTCTTGAGATATTGTTCGGGTTAATTCATAAACAATTCACCAAAGTCCAAAAGAGAATATCATGGAGATTTCAGACTCGAGTGAAACAGGTTTTGTTTCTGTAAAAGTAACTCAATTCAGATTTTAATTTGGACACAATAATGAGCTCTTTAAGGAAAGTATCATCTCTGGTCACAACCAGGTACTCAAAAAGAGATGACCGTCTCAGTTTCTGCCCTATTGGTAGTTTTAATTGTTGGAATAACTGCGAGTAATGATTTGTTTCCATTTAAAACCAGCTTGAGCTGAATCTGGTGCAACTGAACCTGACTAAAAGCAGAAAGAAGAGTTTTAAAAGTCTGCACTAAAGAACTGCAAGTCCTGTGAATGATTATAACCACCTGCATAAAAATGATAGGTTGAATAAATATTGAATAAAAGTGGTCCAACCATTGAGCCCTGGGGAACACCCTTAGTTATTCGGACACTTGGTGACCATGATCCGACCATTTGTATACACTGGAACATTTTTAACCATCTGGCTGGTTAAGCCTATTTGTCCAGCTTTATGCAGATTACTTAAACAATGACCAAGTAAATCCTTTAACAGGATGTGGAAAAAAGGAAGAAAAAAAAACAATATAAATGTTTTTTACATTGAGAAAGTCTACGTAAACGCATGTTTGAGTGAGTAAAATATGGGTTAATCACAAGCATTAATTTTATAATGTTTTCTGAATGTTGAACAGCTTTATTATTGTTACAAAAATGTCAAGAGTTGCAAAATGTTTTTGTGCAGCAACAACAGCAATTTGCAGCTGAAAACTTAATATAAAGATAAATCTGTGTGACTAGACGTTTGCTTTCCTAAATTTTCCCTCTCTGAGCTGCACAAATACATCAATGTCAGTGAGTGTAATATTTACTGGATTATATTTCAAGTATCAAAATTTCATAATCTGCAGATCAATAATTTGCCCAGAGTGATTGGACACCCACCGCCCTGGATATTTTTAGTGACCGACGTATATTGTTTTGGGAGGGAAAAAATATAATCTATTTATTTGCTGCTGCATCACAGCATTACGTTGCATTATTCCAACTGCTGCAGGTTTCCACTGCTCCAAAAGTCTGGCCGTCATGCGGCCGCATTTCGAAGAATCGGCACCAGAAAGAGCAGAGGAGGCGCAGCAGGGTTTAGTAAATAAATAAGCTGGTCTGTTCATTTGTGTGGGAACATGTTTGCTTCAAACGTTCAAAATATGATGTTCTGTGTGCAACACACCACTTGGTGTGTTTCTTACAGGGATGAAACGATTAATTGGATCAATAGCGATGAACTGATTATTGAAATAATAATCAGCAAAACATTTCAGCAAGACAGACACACTTGTTAAATTATTTCTTTATTAATGAAGAAGTACTTTGTTCAGATAATTTAACTTATAACACGGGAAAAATATCTTAACACGTAAAATAATCTGCTAGTGGAACAAGAACTTGAGTCATTTACTTAAAATACGTAAATTTTATTTATTTAAGGTAATAAATAAAATTATTATTTTAGGCACGAAGCTGCTTTTAAGTTAGTAAAGTTGAATTATGACAAAACTAAGACATTTGCATAAGAAACTAAAAATACTTGGTAGGATTTTGTGTTTTTGCAGTGCAGAAAAATCAATTACTGAAATAATTGTTAGTTGCAGCCCGAGTTTCTTATACATATATATTATTAGGTTCTTGTTCTATAGTGTCACAAATTTTGTATTTTGTTTCACAGTGTTTGTTAAAGTACCAATAATTGCAGATTTTAGGTTATTTTTAATAAATAGTTTATTAAAAATAACTGCTAGATTTAAAATAAATTTAACATTAAAGCCAACACACTGTTCTTGTCCAAAACGTGCCAAAACTTTCCAAGGAATCATTTTAAATAATTGTGGTTTTAATATAAAACAATCCGTCTAAAGAAAGTTAAACTGAAGGAGAGCTTATGAGAGCATAAAGATCTGCTGCGCCGTCATCGCATCAACAAACATTCAGATTTTCCTGAAGCACGACAGACACCCACATCAGCTCCTCCTCCAGCTCCTCCCCTCCGTTTCATCCTACTCCTCCACCTCCTCCGTCTCCTCCACCTCCTCTTTCGCGTGTTGCTCGGGGCTCTGAAGCAGCATGAGAGGTCCATCTACGAGGGAATGTCATGCAGCAGCAGCAGCAGCAGCTCACGGCTGAACCGGCGTCCGAGCAGCAGTGAGGTGACAAAAAGTGATTCATCCTGTGCAGCCTTGAGGATTAACACTTTGACTGCACTTTAATTCCAGCTGGAGAAACTTTACGACAGACTCTCCAAAACACAGATCTGGAGAGGGCATGGTCGGTGAACTGTGATTACTGCTCCCAGGAACCAGAAGTCCTTCTTGGGAATTCGTGTTTGTCGGGCGAGAGATCTGGGCAGAGGCTTCGAAGAACCTCGGCTGGTTTTGCCAGGCAGATACTCAACAGCTGTTGCTTCTGCCACCTCGACTTAAAGAGGAAAAAAAAAAAAAGCTGCAGGATGCAGAACTCGTACGATCCTGACAAACTTGTTTGCATAAAAGTGCTCTGTTCTTAGCAACTGGTGAGGATGCGAGATGGCGTGGCGACCTACCTGTATTTGATAAGTGTGTTTTTCACCTCGTTGGAGAGGAGAGCGCAGAGGGAGAAAGTGTGCAGGAGCAAGCAGGGGAGGGAAAGGTGCGAGGCAAGCGCTTTGAGAGGAGAAATGACTCGCACCGCGTGGAGAAGAGACTGAGCGACCGATGCCAGACAGGAGGAGGAGGGAGGGAAAAAAAAATTAAGATCTGGTCAAACGCCCATTTTGTTCTGGAGCGCCGCGGTGAGTACATGACAAATATGAGAGCAGGCTTCCAACATCACCCATTTTTAATTGCTGCATCGTAAATGCAGGCGTAGTTTATATAAAATATGTCAACTGTCATTCAACTTGGGTGGGAAACTGCATTTTCTTATGCAACAAAAGGTTATTTAATCAACGCTTAACTTACCCAAATTGCTGAATAAATTTGAGATAATTGAAGAGTAAGGAGGATTAAAACACTTTTAATGTTCCTCACACTAAAAGCAAAACATGTTTAAAACCCCAAAAATGATACTTTCAGTAGAGGAAAAAATATTCTGCTCATTGCGACATGTTGATGCACAAAAATGAAAATTTATATCAAAATATGACACTAGATGATTTTTTTAAATTGCTGTACGTTTTGTTAATAAAATTCCTGAAAGGATCCTCCTGAAGAAACCCAGATCTCCTTAAACTGATTGTTTTTAATAAAATTTGCAGCCCACCTTGCAGTTAAAATAAAAAATCAGCTGCCTTTCTGACTCAACATACAAAACATAAAAATCCCCTTCATGAAATAGAAAATGTTCAAAATCTGCATTTTTAAAGATCTAATATTTACCCTGATAATTTTGTAAATGAACCAATAAGGTTTTTGCAGACTAATGATGATTCCTGTTTTTCTTGCTCTAACCTGCCGAGGTTTTATTTTTTGTAAACACCTAAGAGGTAAAAAATAACCTGCAGCTTGTTTAATAGAGGGATAACTTTTAAATAATAATAAAAAGATTTACAGTATCATAATCAAAGTAGGTGGCTTTAACCTTGATTTACTTTTGTAATTAAACTCAGCTTAATTAAATGTAAGTATAATTACCAACAAAACAAACCAATCCACCTTAAACAGAAAACAATCAACTTCAGCTTGTTGTGACTTTTGGTAAAAGGTTTTCTTCCTAAAAGCAGCAGATAACAGATTTATACAAGCTAATCACTAGCTATCACATTTACATCTAATAAATCCACTCATTTAAAAAAAAACTAATATTAGTAAGATCAAGCATCAACTTTCACTACTTCTGCTTTTTTCTGCTACACTTTCTCAAACAAAAACATTCAAAGCACAGGTGTCAAACTCGAGGCCCGGGAGCCAAATCTGGCCCGCTACAGCTTTTTATGTGGTCCTCTAAGTTCTAGACTAAACAGTAAGTGTGCTTAAATATCATGTTATCAATCAAACCAATGTAGTTTTTATCAATTTATTCCCAAATTATATCAATCAGTCCCTCCAGTTTATTGAGAATTATTGTGGAAATTCACACAAAACCAACAAATTGCACCAACAATCTTGAGTTTATTTAAAAATGTTTTAAATCTTTTTATTTGTAATAAACATCTGCCTCAGCCTTAATTGATGTCAGACTATAGTCTATGATCTTTACAGCGAGGAATAAAAAGTTGCATTTACTGTCATGAATAAGTGCAAATATTTCCAAAATAGAAAAATAGAACTGACTGCTTTTTTATTACAAAAAAAAAAAAAAAAATCACAAAAAGAATCATGAAATCCTGGAGGAAGATGTTCAATAATATTTAATGTTAAGGATTCACTGATATTTTAACAGTTTGTGATCAGGTTTTATCAATAAATTTTGGCACAACCGGCCCTTTAAGAGCGTTCAGGATCTGGATTTGGCCCAAAACCAAAATGAGTTTGACACACCGGATCTAAACGCAACAGCTATGAATTCAAATCAGGTTTGGATTTGTTCTGGGTTTTGTAAAGATGATTATTTTTAAACAACTCCACGGATTGTTCAGTGGGCTGTTCCACATGTCGGTACTTGGAGACAAACGGACCAAACACCTGCGATGATTCGCTTCCTATTTTCGTCCAGGATCTAATTGAACGACTGCGATCATTCCTCCGCTTTGAGTCCAACCTGTTCAGCCGTATCCTCAACCAAACTGGAAAATCTTAATTAACGACATGATTGGGAAGATTTGTCTCAGTTAGGAAATCATCCTTGCGTTTGTTGATCCAGTTGGCCAAATCAGTGACGCCGTAATGCGATTTCCTTTTGTTTCATTATGATTGAGCCTTGATAGGTGCCCATTAGCGGCCTCGGTAAACTACGGCTGCGGGGGAGGAGGATTGATCCTCGTGTTAATGTGTGCGGATGGATTACAGCGCCAGGATGAAAATAACTGGGCAGCAATTTCCCCAAGTCTTACAGACTCATAATATCAGGATGGCACCATGCGCACCGACGTCAGCGACGACACAATCAACCCCCAGCATCGCAGGAACACGGATGAGAAACAAACAGAATAAATAACAAACTGGTGCAAATGAACCAGGTGATGAAAACCTTTCTGAAAATATTTAATCAAGTTTTCAACCTTGAAAAATATCCGCTGCCTTCCATCACGGAGGACACAAAATGTTCATTAAATCCAGCCGGGATGGGTTTTAGAAAACACATCGATGATGCATGAAAGCATCTGAAATGTGCCTGACCTTGAATTTAAAGCAAACAGTTTGCTTACATAATTGTATGTCATTTTCCCCTAATGCCACACAGTAAAATGCAGATTTTAATAGCGGTTATAAAAACACTGGAACTATAATATGTAGCTTCACTGCAAAAACACAAGATTTTACCAAGTATTTTTGGTCTAGTTTCTAATGCAAATATCTAATTAAACCTGAAGTAAGACAACACTAACTTAAAATCAACTTTAAATAAGATATAGATGCTTATAAGTAAATAATTCCTGAACATTGATCCCAGATCCTCAGGAGAACAAGCATTCTCCTGAGAAGCATTTTGATGTTTATGTTGCCCCATAGTTCAAAAAGTTGACCTGATGGAGCAAAACCAATGTGATTTTAGGATTCAGCTCATCAAAATTGCCCTAAAACAGTTGAAAAACTCCAGAAAATGTTTTGACCGAAGTCACAGACGACGGCATGAAGCTCTTTGAAAATGTAGCGAGTGGTGAATGCTAATAGCTAACTACAAATGCTCATATAAAGAGGAGAGACCGCTCTGATAGGCGTCTTCACAAAACGGTTATGATTGGTTCTGTTTTTTCAGCTGAACATCATGTTTTTATTTGGAGTATCTTTGAGCAAAAGTGAACATTTGAACTGTGTGTCAATTGTGCAACAATTAGTATCAAAGACGTTATGTTCCTCTACTTTCTAAATCTCCTAGTTCTCTGAACCTTTTTAGATAAAAGCAAATGTACAGATGTTGAACGGCTAAAAAAATTGTGCCAAATTAACAAAGACAAGATTGTAGACTTGACTACCATGAGGTATAATTATTCTAGTCGACTGGAAAAGTACAAGTTGTTTTAAACTGCTACGGTCAGCTAAAACAGACTGAATACATGAGAAGCTTTAAGCTTTTACTTCTCTGAAAATGTATTTTTAATTTTAATTTTTTCCTTCAAACTCTCACAGATGCAGTTTCTGTAGAGTCTTTCTTATTGTGGAATCATGAACCTTAACTGGGACATGGCTTTGTAACTTTTTGCAGACTAATGATCAAATTCAAAACCATTTTATTTATTAGAAAATGTAAACTAAATGTTGCCGTAACGCATTAGAGGAGGATCTCCAGTAGCAGTCAGTGTCGCAACGATTCTGAAGAAGCCTCTGACATCATGAGTAGTTGGAAAGATGGTTGAACTTATCAAACCATCTTATCAAACCACGATAAGAGGGTTTGAACTTCCTCTTTCTCTCCTTGCTCTACATTCAGGAAGCTCCAGTTTCAACTCCTCAGGGAATTGAGGTTCTAGTTCAGTTGTCATTTGAATTTTTGAGATGCTAATCAGATGCCGTCAGTCGTAAAAAAAAAAGAAGAGAAAAAAATGAATTGTTGCCATGGTTACACATCTACAACTGCCTAAAAGTAAAAAACTAAGAGCAAAAATCCTTTCAGCAAGCATAAATTTAGTAAAGTAGAATGTACTTTTATAGATATAAGCTCATTAGCTGCAAAAAGATGTATTGCTTTGGCTTGGAACAATGTCAGCAGACCTAGTGCCACGCAGTGGTTAAAGCAGATGGCATCTAATTTGCCACTAGAAAGAATAACATATATTAGGAAATGCAAACAGTATCTTTTTGAGAGGATTTGGGGGCCTTTCATTAATTTTATTAAGAACTCAGACTTGTCAGAGGGACTGTTTGAGTTTTCATTTGCCAGAACCTGCAGTGTACCAGGCTGTATAGATGTGTACATTTACATGTAACCAGTTTGTAATCTGCTTGAATACCCCTGTTTTTGAGAAGCTGTTTCTTGTTTTGTTTTTCTCTTTCTTTGTTTTCATTTCTCTGTGTTGAGAAAGAATAATTACGGTCATGTAATAACCACAAAGAAAACGTGTTCAGATACGTATCTGAACACGTTTGGAAATGTATTTCCAAATCATGGAATACATTTTTACATACATGATTGTATTTCCAAAGTGAAAAATCTCAATAAAATATTTTTGGGGGAAAAAAAAAATCCTTTCAGCTGCACAGAATCCAAACCAGAAGAAAAACACAAGAAACAAGAATCAAAAGTGTTTAAAAAGATCAAAAGTAACGAAGCAGAGCTTCTCCAACATGAGCTTAATTTTAATTAATTTAACATCATAAATGCTCTTAAAGGGCCGGTTGTGCCAGAATGTGTTGATAAAACCTGATCACAAACTGTTAAAATATCAATGAATCCTTAAAATTACTTATTATTGAACATCTCTTCAGTCCCTCCAGGATACATATTAAAACTTCACATGTCTGACTTAAAACTGAATGAAATCAAAGCCATATTCTATTTATTTAACCAGGTTAGTCCCATTGAGACATTTTATATTTTTACAAGGGAGACCTGACCAAGACAGCAGCAGCTGCACTGTTGCTACTTTTGCATAACCTGGAATACCTTATAGCTAATTTGCATTAATAATATCTTTAACAGCAGGCTGATCTTGATACCTTATCTAACATTTAAATATTCAGCAACAGCAAACCAGCAAACTTCAAGAGCAGGTTGCATAAGAGTCGTCCGAAAAGAGGAATGGCGACGTCCAGTTCCTATATATTCCTTTCAGAGTTAATAAAATGAAATGAACTGATCCTGGAAATATGAGTTAGGTCTGAAACTCTTGTCAAAAAAATAAATTTAAACTGGATCTCTAAAGCTCTCATTTTGCAGAATCTGGCATTAGAGATAAAAAGATAAAATACGTTTGCTTGTCGATTAAAATGTTGAAAATCCTTCCTATAATGAAACTCCTTTCCAACGCCTCCACCATCGCCGTAAGTAGAGCTCTGCTTTCAACCTTTCTGCCCTGAGATTTTTAAAATTCGCAAGCCTTATGAGATACATTACAAAATGGTGAGAAACATTGCTGCAGGCCATTCCTCTCCCAAAATACAGAAAATCTCCAAATACTTCTGGTAGATTCTGGCCAGATTTCACTTTACAGCAGAAAGCAGAAGCATAATATGTAATCTATAGTAGCTCCAGCCAAAAGGTGACGGTATATGTTTTGTATATTCCAGTACTTCTTTTTTTTTGGTCATATCATATGGTGAAATAAAAGAAAACAACTTGTGAAAGCATTACCGCCCACGTACAATTATGTCTCCTCTAGAGAGCAGCAGCCTCTTGCTGTAGGTGACTAATGCAACAAAACACAGAGGCAAGGAAGATGTGTCAAAAAAACTTAAAACAACTTTACATTTACACTACAACAACCAGAAAAACAGGAACGCTTTAATGTACAGCTCTGGAGAAAACCAAGAGCCCGCTGCACTGAGCGCCGTTGAAAACCTGCTGGTTACTCCACCAAACGTTGACCTCTGAACTCTGAGTTAAAACATGAGCATTGTTGTTTACAAATTAATATTAACTTGTTTGAAGAGTGAAAACAATGCATCTTTTATTATTTTGACCATTTCTCATCTTCTGCCAATAAAAACTAAATTATAGCTTGTAATTACAGAGACATGTCAGTAGTTCATAGAATAAAAGTTCGTTTTACTCAAACATAAACCTATAAAAAGTAAAATCAGAGGAACTGAGCATTTTAAGTGGTTTCTTAATTTTTTCCAGAGCTGTATTAAAATTTACAGTAGAAAGAAAGTACATCTGTGTTCACTTCTAGGTTTTCAAATAGTTTTTAAAATAAAATCAATGAATAAAAACACACCAACTCAGTTACGCTGTAGTAAGAGGATGAAACAAAAACTGAACTTCAAAAGCCATTTGTTGAAAAATTAATACACCCTTAATACAGTGAAAAAGTGTAAAAGATTGACTGGAATGAGAAAAAATTCAGACAAAATGTGGTGTAAAGACAAATTACCAAAAAAAAAAAAAACAGTTTTTGAATAATCCAGAATAATTAGAAAAATAGTGAACAAGAAAAGATGTTACAGCATGAAATCTATCTATTTAGTTCAGTATATTATGGATGGATGAGACCACAATAAATCAGCACCATATTGAGGAGAAACCAGAACGTATATTATGACGTTAAACCAAATACTGATTGTCAGGTGTTGGAAAGGTTAGGATCTGGTTTTGTTTTTTATTTTTGTAGACGTCGCTGAGTAAACCACAGAATCCTCTGAAACCCAAAGTATTACAGAGATAAAACATGAGGCCATCTGTCTGACAGCTGAAGCTCAGACTGCAAAACGGTCCAGTCAAAGCCTTCATCCCTGTAAAAAATGCTGCGATGGGACCTTAAAAAGGTTTAGTATGTCTGCAAATCTCAATGAATCCACACAAAGAAGAGCATAAATTCTGCTGGACAACAAATTTTTCCTGTTACTGTGATAAACTGTAGTTTTGAGATAAATTTTAAGTAATATAATGTAATGACAAACATTAATGCAAGAACACATTCTAAAAGATGAGTGAACTTTAAATTATAATCAACATTTAAACACTGGAACTGGAAGACATTTTAAATATCCAAAGTAAATAAACAAAATAACAAATAAAACTAATTTTGAAGTCTTTGGATACAAAATTATCCTTCAAAAAAAAAGGGCGACTTGAGACAAAAACACCAAACTGGAAACTTTTATCTTCCAGCTTTTGGTAGAAGGAGAGAGAAAAAAGTTTCAGTAAGTAGATAAATATCATATAAACTACCAATTGGATGGGTAGTTTATTTACCTAAAGAGCCTATAGACTTTTATTTGTTAGAGCATTTGATTCTAAAAGTTTTAATCTTCCTCAAATTGGTCTTTAAGGCCTTTTAGATACTTATTATAATGGTGCATGTTGCATTAAACACCATGAGAAGTTTTTCTAATTCATAATAAGACGCAGATATAAATATAATGCTGTAAGATCAGGAGCCACTTATTAAACTGCTGCTTAAAGAAACCAGCACAAGTAAGTTGATTATGTTTATTGGTCTCTACTTCAAACAGTGTTTGCTGCAAATCGTTTCGTCTGACTTTTATGAAGTGAACCAGCTGCCAGAGCCGAGACAGGCAGTCTGTTGGCTCACTGTGTCCTTTGGAGATATTTTAATGTTGACAGAGAGACACATAACGACGTGTGCTAAGCAAACAGAGGTGTGGAAATTGTTTTGCAAATATCAGAATTACTCATAAGAGAAGCCGTCGGCTGCTTGGAGAGCGAGACAACAAAAAGGCTAAATGGATTAGGAAACAGGCTGCTTAATTTCAATCTGTCATGAAAAATAAATCGGCTGTTGGAAAGAAAAACAAAAAGGCTGGTAGGGACATCATGTGACGACATTTTAGACGAATAGATTGTTTAGATTTAATTCACAAATTTTAGTTTCTGTTGAAATGCTTAAGTGTTTTTCCCCCTTGCAATTACGAAGAAAAAAAAAAACACTATTTAGCATCAACTTCTGATGCATTTAGATCTTTCATCTCACTGTAAGATTTGACTGGAAACGCTGCAAAATAAGTCAACCAGCATTACTAAAAATTAAATGATTACAGACTTTCAGCATTTTAGAAAATCTGGCATATGCCAGAGAGAAAACACAAACAACTCAAGCAAACCGATCGCAGCTCCCACAGGCCCCACTGATTGGGATTTCTGAGGCAGATAAATCGTCAGTAGTTCTGTCAGAGATGACACAAACAGCAAAGATCCGGCCTGAAAGCGAGGAAACCCGTTTCAGGCTTCAAAGCGCAAAACATCAGAAAAATGCAACAAAACTGCATATCTGAAAATGAGAAGCACAAAATGGAAGTATGAACGCAGGCAGAGGTTGAAGGTCACGGCCACAGCGTGCAGACCAAGAAGAAGAGCTGCAGATTAGACAAGTGAAGTAATCTGTCCTAATTTACTGATTCTGGAATTTTCTACAGGATAAACGTGACTCAGATATGGAAGAACGATGGCAGGAATGTCAAACTCATTTTGGTTTTGGGCCAAATCCAGATCATGAATGATCTTAAAGGGCCAGTTGTGCCAGAACCTATTGATAAAACCTGTTAAAATATTAATGAATGCTTAAAATTAAATATTATTGAACGTCTTTTCAGTCCCTCCACGATTTCGTGATTCTTTTTGTAATTTTCTACAATAAAAATCTAAGTGTTTGTGGTTCTAATATGGAAATATTTGAGCTTATTTATGACGGTAAATGTGACTTTTCTGAACAGATCATGGACTATAATCTGACATCAATTAAAGCTGAGGCAGCTGTTTAGTACAAGAAAAAGTTTTTGACAATTTTTGAGAAAATTCTGCAATAAACTCTCAATTATGTATTAGTGCAAAAAGATGCAGGGATTTGTTGATTTTATGTGAATTTCCAGGATAATTCTCAAGCACCTGGAGGGACTGATTGATATAATTTGGCAGTAAACAGATAAAAACTGCATTGATTTGATTGATAATATAATATTTAAGCACATTTAGTGTTTAGTCTAGAATCTAGAGGGCCACATAAAAAGCTACGGCGGGCCAGATTTGGCCCACGGGCCTTGAGTTTGACATGTGGATTATGGGATACATAATCATTAATAATTACCTGCTGATTAAAATAACAGTCTCCAGCTCTTATAATACTTTTATTTTAATGCAAGATATTAATCTAGTAGAACAAACAATTGTTTGAATTAATTAGGGGATTAAAACATTTTTAATTAAAATAAATTCCCATTTTTTTGTTATGAAGATGTACAGCTACTTCTACCGTGATTTAGAGGAAACTTTAAAATAAGAGCTCTGCAGGATTAGGGTGGATTAGATGGAAAAATAGGCAGTTTCCTCCCCCAACCCCCATCACTGAGAGCACAACTAGGTCAAACTACTAACAAACATCTTGAGTGTGGATGGTATTACTGAGTGAAGAAGATATGAAGTTCGCGGTTCCCAGTATCAGTGAGTCCAAGGAAAACACAGAAATTAATGAAATTACACCAATTTTTCTACATTCAGTTGTAAAGATAATAAGAATACATTTCAGAAGACAATCTGCTAAATAATACACTCACTTAAATACTAGTAACTAGTGATTTATGGTATTATATTTTACCTAGAAGTTGTAATATAAAGATTTGGCTTTGTCTTTTAAACTTTAGGACTCTGATTGACCTGAGAGTTATTTTTTATTCATCAGTTCAGGTCACATATTTGACATTGTAGGTGTGATATTTCAGTTTTTCTTTTTTCATAAATTTGCAAAAAAATCCTACATTTCAGTTTTTCTGTTGAAATGGGATGCTGAGTGTATGTTCATGAGAAATAATATGAACTTTTTTGATTTTAGCAAATGACTGTATTGAAACAAAGTGTGAAACATTTAAAGAGGTCTGAATACTTTCTATACAGAAAAGAAGAGATTTTTAAATATTTGTTTTATATGTGTAATTTGGCCCTTTACTTAATTCATTTTTAAAGTAATTAAACACATTTAGTTTGTAGGGTGATCTAACCAGCCTGCAGAGACAATCTGTGAAGAAAGCTGAAGCTTTGACATTTCAAACGGCAACCTGATGGATTTAGAAAGTTTCTGCAACAAAATCAGAAACAAATATAGTAATATTTTCCTCCCACTGTAAGAACAATGCCGCCATTGTTAGCTTGACTTCAATGAACCAGCACTGTACATTTTTCTGGATCATTTGCAGTACATAATTAACAAAATCAAAGAGTCCAGGGGGTCCAAACAAAACAAAGTCGTCGTCTAGGCGGCAAAGCCGACATCAGAACCCACACAAAGCAACACAGCATAGCCAATTAGAAAACAAATACTGTCAGGGATATTCAACAACAGATTTTCTCTACAAAAAGAAACGGAAGCAACATCAGCAAACAATCTGAGATACTGGAGAGCAGAAAGAGTAGAAAGTAAAGCAGAAGTGGATCTGCTCTTACCCGCTGACGCCAGCAGCACATGGAAGTCGGTTCCTCTCTGAGACGGTGTGCCGTCGTCTTCCTCCGCCCTCTCCGACGCCTCGTAACGGTCCCAGTTGGACTCCAGCTTTCTTCTGGAGAACACCGCTGTCCTGTCGTCTTCATCTTCGGGGTTCTCCCCCTCGTCTTGGTGCTGAAGGAAAACAAAACAGAAGTTGGAAAAAATACCTAAAATTAAAGACAAATGGAAAACAAAAAAACTGGGAAGTATTATTGTAGTGTTCTTTCAAATCAATCATGAAACTTGAACTGATTTATATTTTAAACATTTTCACTATTTAATCAAATGACGACCGTTTATGGTTTTAACACAGAAATTAAGACTAATCAAATTTTATCTGCTCAAATCATTCATTTATAATAACCCACACTTTTGAAAAGGACTTCATACACTTTCTTGTAATTCATAACTGTAAGCAATGCCTACTGTTAAAAGATAAACAGCATGCCATGTCAACAGTGGACTCATTAAATTTGTTGGAGTCGTGGCTCTTCCTGTTTGTCTGCAGTTATTCCAGTAATGATTCTCTGGAAACATGCTAAAGTAAATTTTCTTTCTTCCTTTTAAGTCAAGCTAAAGGATGCCCATTCTCGCCCCCAGCCATGTCATTAGACACCACACGGCAGGCGTGGATGCACCAGGGAGATTTTTATGATTGCAATCAAAGAGCCCCCAAGTAACAAAACTTATTTCTATGATTGCAATCAAGGAGCCCCTATTGTTTATCCTCTAATTCTGTCAGAAGCATCACATGACTCAACAACCTGGAGGAAATTAGGTGTAATTTCAAAGGCTGAGGTTCTGGATGTTCATTGTAAAAGTGTTTACAGAGTCACACATGAACATTAAATTTATTTAGAGGAGGCAACAGTTCTCAAAAGGCAGTGTCCTGCATATATATATTAGATGTGTCCCTGCTGCAATGCAGCTGTTTGAACAGCAAACTCAACATGTTTGAACTTGTGCAGTGGCCTCCTAATTAAACATTCATTCAATTCAGGTGTGTTGAACAAGGAGACGTCTAAAACATGCAACTAAACTCCAATCTATGCCGAATTGAAGACAACCTTATTTTTAAGCTTAAACTATTATCTAGAACCGAGTTTGTTAACTCACAGACAAAAAAAGTAAGAGTTGTAATCCTATTCAATGAAGTTTGGTGCAGCGGTTCTCACCTGCTGGGGAACGTCTGCTGCGGCGTGATAGCCTCCACCGCGTCCGCGTCCCCGGTGGTCTCGCCTGCCCCTGCCGCGGTGTTGGCCGCCTCTCCCCCGGCCTCTGTGCTCACTGTTATGGCCGTCAGCGTCGTGTCCACCCCGGCCGCCTCTCCTCCATCCGCCTCCCCTGCCTCGCATGGCTCTACCTTCCATAACAGTTGTTGTTAACTGAGTGTCGGACACATTAGCGAGTGGCACCGCCTAAGCGGTACTGCCGCAAAATATGTCCCCGTAAAAATGTTTCCGGTTGAGTTTTTTTTCTCAATGAATATTCTTTTCAGAGTTAAATACTGACAGTATAATAAAATATAAAATACAACATATATCAAAATAAAGTTTAATTACAAGCTTATTAAGAAGTAAAAATAAAATGGATATTGCAAAAAAAACCAAAAACAAACTATAAAGTTGTTTTAAAAAAGTAAAGTGTTTTTACTATATCAGCTTTGAAAACAAAAGTTGGAAATGTGTTTCCAAGTTGGAAATATATTAAATGATTTCGCACATGAAAAATCACCATACTACTTTCTATGGCTTGAGGGTAATCAGACTGTGGTTGAACCCTTTCCACCTTAAATGTAACCCAAACTCAGCTTTTCTGAACACAAAAACACGATTTAAAAATCTGAAATTACTCAGAGCTGGTAGCAGCCATTTTATATCTAAAATCATTAAAAAGTCATTTTAAAAAAGTTCTTGATGATTAATTAAGCATTTTATCATATTTTCTAAATTAATGTATCAACATTGTTGTTTTTGTTTTATTTTAGGCTGCCAACTCGTCTTGATGGGGACCCAAAGAGGAGACTGACTACTACTAAGGAAAAACTAATAACAGAAGACAATGGATGTCCACAACAGCACTTTAGGCAATGGGACAGTTCCCTACAGCCTCTTAGAGGTCATAGCCATCGCTACAGTGTCAGCCATCGTCAGTCTGATAACTATAGTTGGAAACGTACTGGTGTTGCTCTCATTCAAAGTAAATAGCCAGCTTAAGACCGTAAACAACTACTACCTGCTTAGTTTGGCCTTTGCTGACCTCATCATAGGAGTGCTGTCCATGAACTTGTACACCATGTATATACTGATGGACAAGTGGCCCTTGGGGAACGTTGCCTGTGACCTCTGGCTGGCAGTGGATTATGTGGCCAGCAATGCCTCAGTCATGAACCTGCTTGTGATTAGCTTTGACAGATACTTCTCCATCACAAGGCCACTGACTTACAGGGCAAAGAGGACACCGAAGAGAGCCGCCATTATGATTGGGCTAGCTTGGCTGGTGTCTTTTGTCCTTTGGGCGCCACCCATTCTATGCTGGCAGTACTTTGTAGGAAGGAGAACAGTTTCTCCCGACAAGTGCGAAATCCAGTTTTTAACCGAGCCTGTGATCACGTTTGGAACGGCAATTGCTGCTTTCTACATCCCGGTCTCAATTATGACCATCCTCTACTGGAGGATCTACAAGGAGACGCAGAAACGGACAAAAGACCTTGCAGAGCTTCAAGGACTCACAACTGGGAATGTACCAGAGGGGAATAAACCACAGAAGACAATGATTCGGTCTTGTTTTCAATTCCCCAGAGAGAGAAGAGACCAGAGTCAGGCCTCTTGGTCTTCGTCTACTCAAAGTAATGTTACTAAAATGACCAGCAGGTCAGATGAAGCATGGGTGAAAGCAGATCAGACCACTTCTTTCAACAGCTACACATCATCAGAGGAGGAGGAGCATCGGGTTTCAATAGAAACCCCACAAGGATCATTCAAAGAGCAGCAGACGGGACAGAGTAATAAGAACGGGGAGGTTCCAGATTATCCAGAGGAGGAGTTTTGTTCCACTCCTCAGAAGAAGAGCCATAAAAGCTTAATTTCTTACAAGTTCAAAGGTAGCTCAAAGGGTAAAAATGACAATCCACCGAGTCCAAAACCGTGCCCTCCAGAGCCAGAGCAGCCGGTCAAAAAGCCGTCCACCTCGTCATCCTCCACCGCTTCTAAGCCCATAGACTCCGCCATGAAGAACAGGATCACCAAGAGGAAGAGGATGGTGCTTGTGAAGGAGAAGAAGGCAGCCCAAACCCTCAGCGCCATCCTCCTGGCCTTCATTCTCACATGGACGCCGTACAACATCATGGTGCTCATCTCCGCGTTCTGCTCCAACTGCATCCCTGAGTCCCTTTGGCACTTGGGCTACTGGCTGTGCTACGTCAACAGCACCGTCAACCCGATGTGCTACGCTCTGTGCAACAAGACCTTCCAGAAGACCTTCCGCATGCTCCTGCTCTGCCAGTGGAGGAAGAGGAGGCGAGGCAACAATAAAATGAACTGATGTGGTGGTTAATGCGTTTTATCCCCACATGACGGCGTCCATTGATATTTGCTAGTATTCATTTGCAATGTGGTGGTTTTTGTATTTAATATATGTTGGTAGAAAATGAGAAAAAGTCAAAATGACTGGAAGGAAAGTTTACTCAGCATATTAAAGTAGATAAGCACCCTACTGTCTTTAAAGATGGATTTATTTGAAGGCTATTTTCACATCATTTTCCAGTAGATGGGTGTATTTAGAAGGAGTTAAAGGCTTTACAAAAGTTACCCTGAATGAACATACCTCGGATTTTCAAACACTTTTGTATAAAAGAGCCGATGTGAACGAATGAAAAAACCAAAACCTTTCTTGAAACGGATGCTTCAGATGATGATGCCTCCAAACCTCAGAATGAAGAATCTGTGATTTGTGTACCATGGTGGTTAATGATGTTGCCACTATTCACAGCAAGAAAAACTGATTAAATAAGGATAATACAGTGTATCTTTTCTAGGTGTTGTCTTCAATCTGTGTTTCTGGGTCCAGCATAAGTTACAGAAGTGCAAAAAGCTTGAAGTGCTCGTTTATTATATTTGTTGCATAGTACTGATCTTTTTCAATGCTGATTCAGATACACAGGTTGATTTGAGAAGATGTAATTTTTTTGGTGACGTATCTGAAAAATCTCCTTATTTTTCATCCCGCCACATTAATTTGTGTTGCTTAGTACGAGATTACCCATCATTCACTTGCTTATTGCTGCTAATGCTGCTTGCATTTTCAGTATTTCTTTTCTTGCTGGTTCTTGATGTGATTTATCTGGAAAAGTATTTTGTTTTGAGACTCACAACTGAGCTGTTAATTATGTCTTAAAATTCTAACTATAACTATAACAACGAGGGGATGTTAGGTATCTGTGATTGTGACTTTTCAAAAAAAGAAACAAAAAGTTGAGTTCAGTGTCACTTTTTCTCAAATTAAGATTGAATAAAATAAACTTTGTGAATTTAAATATGTCAAAAATTGCAAATAATTATGCTATAGTTCTCAAAGGTGTGCATAACCCAGCCAGGTTTTTGGGATAAGCAACCAAAATAAAGCTTTTTTACTTTGTTTTTTATGAAAAATTCTGTCCAATTCAACTTTAAAGCAACTTAATATTTTCAAAATGAAAGTGGCATTCACTGATCCTAAAAGAAACTCTTATTCCAGCTGTTAATTTTATCCACAACAAAACATTTTTTTCAGTATGACTAAAGGCAACTCCAGAGCATGACGCTGCCACCACCATGCTTCATTGAGATATTTCATTCCTAATTTGTGTGCCTTTTCAATTTGTGCCCCAGATCTTTATTTTCTGGTTTCATCAGTCCAGAAAAAATTTTTCCATCAAGTTTTAGGAGATTTTATCCAGGCCTCGATGAAATCTCAAAAGAAAAAGATTTCATCATGGAATCCTATTCATAAATCCAGGCATGTAGAGAATAAAGGAGACTGTTGTCCCACTATACACAAAGAACATTTCACATAAATTCATTCAGCTTATTCACCGTTTCTCGTCTTTTAAGTAATTTTGGAGAATATTCTGGATGACTGAGAAGACTTTCTCAGAGTGGTGAATGATTTCTGCATTGATTCAGTCGTATGTTTAGGATAATCAGCCAGTTGAAATGAAGCCCTACTTTCACGTTTCTGGCAGAGGCAACAAGATTCCTTTCTTTGGAAGCGAAAGAGGCCCAAAGCATCATGGATCCTCCACTGTACTCAACAGTAAACATGTTTATTTGCCAGATATTTGTAATTTGTTTTATGCTATATCAAACTCATTTTCATTTCAAGCCACATCAAGATCAAGAATGTCTTAAAATTAAAATTAGAATATAAAAAACACTGAGCTGTAACAACCTGACTTTAGTGAGCAGCAATATGGACTTGTGTTTATACATGTACAAAATATAGATAGCAGTAGTTACTTTATTCTGCAGTTTCATCAATTACAGTGTTAAAACAGGGAGATTGAATTTGAAAAATAGACATTGTTACTGTTTATTTATAATTTATATGCTTAACTGTTTAAATTTCCCAATCTAAAGTTTTATTTTATACTGTTCCGTAAGGTTCTTGTACAAGATGCACATCGGTTTTAATGTTAAACTCTTCATATGCATTCAAAATGACTGTTGCTAAGTTTTAGAGAAATGCTCCATTCCTCAACTGAACATACAGTAAATAACACTGAATCTGATTAATTATGTATAAAGATATTTACCAGAACATGTGAAGTTTCACACCCGTAAATATTAAATGTAAATTACGTACACTGTTTGGGTTTAGTGATGTTTTCTTCCATTCTGTTTCTGGCTTTTGGGAACTTATCTTGTGTTTAAGGGCTAACTTGTGCATTTTGTGAATTTTAAAAAGCAGTAGTTGAACAGTAATGTACATGTGAGATTATTTAAGGATAACATCCCTACCAGTATCCATCATGTAAAAAAGACTTTATATGTTTGAATGATGACTTGGTATTGACCCTTTGCAACTACGTCACTAAATTATTCGAGGCGCCATGATGGACGGCGGAAGTGAGGGAAGGGAGCATTAAACAGAGCGACTGAAATTGTTTTCCAAAGTTGTTTTTGCCAGTTTATTTATGGCTTCTACTTGTTCAAGTTCAGCTGATTTATCTGTGAATGTAACACACCTGATTGGGAATCATAGACGGAGGTATTTACGGAAGTAGGAAGCAGCTAGCTTAGAAACCGACCCATACTTCCTCCCTCCTGACGTGTTGATCAAATTACCGACTTTGCCTGAATTCACACCATATGATTTATGTGATTATGTCATTATCGGCGATTCCCCTTTACACAGAGAAAGCCTTAAAAAGGTAGAAAAGACAAGATGCTAGCCACTTCTTTCCATACATGCTAGCCTACATGGCGGCATTGTCTCCATGGTTACCAATGGTTGCACGTACATAATGCAATATTGAATATCATCTTTCTAGTCAAACTTACATATGAAGTTTATAAAAGTTCTTATCTTGTAAAAAGTGTTCGTTGCAAATCCGCGGTTACACCGAGGGCTGACAGTCATTATGATTAACGGCTGCTCTCCATTACAGCCGCATCTTTCCTCATTAAAAGTTACAAAGTAAAATGACAAGAATGGTTTTCACCCTTGTCTATTTGTGCAGCCGACTGCGCAGGACCCTGTGACCATTTTTACTGCGAAATCGACTTAATAAGTGATATTAGGCTCCCAGATGTGCGTTTTTTACAGGAGCGCATTGGTTGTTTTGACGTCCGTCATGGCGGAGCGGAAAGAGTTCTGAAGGCAGTGACGTCACGCGCAAAGGGTCGATACTGCTCCAACTGTAAATCTGTCACTGTTGAATTTAGTTATAAACTCTGTGCCTTTTGTTTTGTTTATATTTGTGACTGAATCTGTGCTGCTCTGAACTTTTACTTTTACAATCCAAATAAATGCAGAAAGAAACAAAGTCAGACAGACGTTCATAAAGACTCAACAGCGTGAAAGTCATGTTCATTATTTCAGTAATTCTGTTTCCAGGTAGGAAAATATTATGGTTGGGGTCAAAATTATTCGCACCCCAAGTCAGTTTTATTCAACCAAGAACTAAATAAGTCGGGCATCTTTAAAAATACAATATAGAATAGTTTAATTTTTGAAAAGCAATGTTCTATTTTTTTATTGAAATAGCATGTCAAAAATATTTATAATCTCCTCCAAGACTGGGCAATATGGCCGAAAAAAAGTATCAAGATAAAATGAATGAATGCTTTTTTGTTATTGTACCAAATCTTAAAATTTATTTCAGTACACCCCATCCAAAAACGATTAAAAAAAAACAAAACAGGGGAGATAGGGTGCATTTCATATCAGTTCATATCAAAAATTACTGATTAGTTTTTGTTTAAAATATCCAAAATACCCATAACTGCTTAAAAAAACAAATAGGGGTGAAAGGAGAAAATTAAAGCAACTCATAAAGAAATTGCAGATAAAAGAGGAAAGGTCACATCATTAGTTTAGCAGTATTTTGGATATTTAATACAAAAATCTAATTATCAATGTCGACTGATGGGAAATGCTTATATCGTAATATGTTTTTCAGCCATATTGCCAAGCCATAACCACTTCCGTACAAGTCATTTTCCCCCAACCATGTGTTTGTACTTAAAAAAAAGAATGATTTATATATATGTCATTTTTGCATTTTAAATAAATAAAAAATAACCTTTGTAAATATATTTTACCCAGTACTCCTCAAGTAAAAGTGTTTGCGTCACTTGGTTCAAATTCTGTAATTGCTATTCAGTTATTAATCACAATCACATTGAAAGTATTTTTTAGCAGTAGATGCATCCTTTGCTACAAATTATCAAGCGTATATTAAAGAAATGCTATGCTGTTGCATTTTGGGCAATAAAATGTTTATTTTCTTATAAAAAAAAAAGGAATTGAATGTTTGAAAATTAATCGTTACGTGCAGCCTTAGTAGAAAAGATGTGGAAAATCTTAAATATCAAGAAATAAGGACATTTTACACAAACAACTGAGTTAATGATTTTAATATTGACTTTACTTCCCACTTTATTAAAAAGCAAAACCAGCAACAATCTGCAGTCCTGGAAAACCAGCCACACCTCCTTTACTCTTTACCTGCCAACCACCGTTGCTTTAATTTATACACCTCAGGCACATCATGTACAGTATGTAAGCATACAGTGCACTATAATAATTCATAGAATGAGGTCAAGTGTTTTCTCCCAAACAAATCAGATCTTCTCAAATAAAAAAAAGATTATATAGCATTTTAATTTATTTATCTATAATTTTAAATAAGAACTTATCTTAAAATTTCAATGTCATTCACAGTCGGATTACCAAAACGTTCCAGGAAAAGAAAAACTCTGAATATGTATATAGGCTCTTTTTGTCTTTAGATAGAGGAATTTAGCAGCAGTGGGAAAACTACACAAGTAGGACAGACAATCAGAAAGTAGGAATAATAGCTTTAGCAAACATTTTCCACAGTGCAGCTTGAAACCAAAACACTCAGCTCCGTTTCAGACAGTATACTGGAAACCACGGTGTGCTCAGAACATTTACTGATGGAGAAAACTGTACAGCAGACCCAGGTGAATGGGAAAGGGGGGAAATGACACTTGAAAAATTTTGCTTTGACGTAGTGAGTCAGTTCCAGCAGGTTGGTACAGTACTACCTCCGCTTGGCTGCGGGCCTGCTGCCCTTGCTGCTGCTGCTGGCGGTCTTGCTGGAGCCCTTGGAGCCGGAGAAGAGCTTGGTCATGAGCTCAGAGACGTCTGGAAGCTCAGGGTTGGGGTTCAGCATGTTCATGGACTGCTCCATCTCCTGCACACATGGAAGGGATTTAAGAAACTACAGACCAGCATCCTTCGGTCGTCTGTAATGCCTTAATTAGGGTGTGCATAAGACTGTCATAAACATGATATAACACCTGTTATGAACATGAAGGAGTCTTCATGAACGTCATGAAGTGTTGTAATGACACTTAATGCTGGTTTTAATTTATCTTTCCATTAAAAGTGTCATTATTTACTGAATGACACTTCATGACAACAGTGTAAATATTTATGAAGAGTCATTCATGTTCATAGCAGGCGTTACGTCATGTTTATGGCAGTTTCATTTCAGACTTATGCAAAATAAGTCAAATAAGGTGTACCCACATTGAAAACCACTGTGCTGAAGTCACAAATAATGTCTACAAAAGCTGAAGTTCACCATCATAAGTCACTCTGTGTTCCTGCCTCTTCAGAACCATTTCCATCCCTTTCCCATCTGTTCCTCGTTGTCTTTTCCCTAGACACCAAACCTGCCCATCACCTCTTTTCCCAGTTGTGGGGAATAACCACCAACAATACCCAACGTTCCCCCCGAGTGTATTATAAGCCTGGCGGGCCACCAGGCTTTACTTGCCTCCCCACCAGGCTAAGCATTGTTTAATTCAAATAGGATTTTTAATACACCACTGACAGTAAAGAGGGAATAAGCAAAGGGGTGTGCATTAAGTGTGTGTCCCCTGCTTATGCCTCACACTGTTATTTCCAAATTATGATGCCTGCTGGTACACCTTTGAATTTTTCTGACTTTTAACATTAAACACAAAATCACAGTGGGCTGCTCTACCACCGAGCTTAGCAGGTTTTCTGGGGGAAACTCTGAATACCGACCATGATTATTTCAAATTTCGAGCTTCAGGTTCATCAGTCTATCTGAAACTCTTTTCACTACCAGAAGGTCCTGAATAAACTCCTCATTTCTCTTTTCATCTACACTGAAGTAGAGCAGTGTGAGCCCTGCTCTTCAGCTTCTAGCCTTGCTTCCTTTCCATTTGGTCTCCTGACAAATCTTATACCACCCTTCTTCTTCTCTGCTTCATGTCCAACTCTCTAACTTTACCCATCCTGGTTTTAACTTTCAAAGTCCCTACTGTCAATTCTGCACGGTTGCTTTCCCTTTTCTCTCTCTGCTATGATAACACCTTCCTCTTCTCCTCCAAAGCAAAGTAAATAAATGTTAAACAAGAAATTGACTGTTGACCTGAATCAGATAAGAAACTCAAAAACCCTGCAATCTTTTCTGGCCAGTCGTTGCCTAGAAAGTTGATTTTATTCCTTAGAGTTCTCTAAGAGAAAGTTATTCAATTACAAATCAGTATAACGAGGTCAACATTTAAACTCCAGAATGCCTTTTACACCAGTTAAAAATGCTGCTTGTTATAAACACCCAACCGGAGACCTGAAGGTGTTCCTTACCTTCCTCATCTCTGGGTCGTTGGTGTTGACGACTTTGGGCAGCAGAACAATTATGAGCAGAGGTAAAACCATCATCATCACCTGCAGAAGCAACAAACATCTAAATGAGGAATTCACCTGGAGTTCAATTCATTGGTGACAAAAGTCTAAACAGGTTCATATGTAAACTGAATGTGACAAGATCTAAATCACAAGTAGTGATAATTAATTTACAGGAAATATAAACGAGTTTAATATTCCTTTTACAGCACCTGAGCTCCAGTATTGCTTTCCTGATATTGTCATTTCTAAGTGAGCTATTGATTAGTTTTATTACCATTGGATTCATGAGGAAATCTGTCCAGCCCCAAGTTTCTCTCTTCATGAAGTAACTGTGAGGACCACTGGCTCTGATCTGAAGTGGGTAAGGCTGACGAATCACCTCTGAAGTCTTAATGTAGTTCACAAGACGCGCCCTGTGGAGGAGACATGTTTTCAATATGGGTCACTGCTGAAACTAATGTGTTTTTGGCTTAAATTATGGTAAAGCCTTACCTCATTTTCCCTTTGGAAGTGATATCAACACGAACTGGTTCAAATCTATATGTAGGAGTAACAACTTCCAGAACATAAGATCCAGAAGGGATGTCATTAACTGCAAAACTCCCATCAGTTCTGTAAAGGACAAAAGGGCAAAATTTTTGCAAATAATATAGTAATTTTTAAAGATTTCTGTATTATTAAAAACAGATTTAAATCATACATTCTGCAACCACAACACATCGTATCCTTAATATTAAAACAATAAAAAGATATAGCATCTAAATTGTGTTGCTTTTGTTTGAGATATGCTAAATAGTTGAGTGAAATAACACTGAAAGATAATGTAAACACAATTTTCTGAAAGACACCAACCTCCTGTACAAGAGTGACAACTGTCGTATCTGGGGTAACACATGCATATATGGCAGTAATTATTTAATTGCATATTTAATAGTTGTGTTCAATTATAACTGACTGTTAAGTGCATTTTGCATTTGAGTTATGACATATGGAAAAATTGCTTTTTGGAAAGTCACGGGAGGAGGAGAAACGACAGCAATCTAAACACAGAACTACACCTGGAAACGAGTGTTTGGTTTGTATCCATAGAGAAAAGAAATTAAAAGGACTGTTATGTATTGTTTTGTACTGTAAACATGCTATTCTCATTAGCTCCAATATTTGAAAACAACTTTTCAGAGAAATTTTTTGTATAATAAGAAGCCATTATCCGTCATGTTTTGTAGAAAACATTGGTTTGAACCGTTACCATGTTGACAACAGACTCTACTCTCAAGAGGCCCACACGTAGCATTTAGCATGCGGGCCTTAGGTGCTGTTTATGTAGAAATTAACCAAATTCTTGTACATGGTTAATATAATTATATCCAGGTGTATTAACATGTAAGTAATCTACCAGTTTTAAGCCATTATTTGTGTTCTGCATCAACCGTGCGGTCACCTGATCTTGACATGCTAACCAGCACTGCTAACGCTAAACACTTAGCAAACAAGCTAACCGCTGGAGAGTCTTTAGTAATTTCTTACCTTAAAAATCCCACATATTCCTCGCCTTCTACCAAGACTCTGGCCGTAGAGACCCAGTCTTGCGTTTTCACGCCAGGAACGATCGCTCTTCCCTCGATTTTGAACTTATCTCCGTTCGGCTGCGTCGATA